GTGTTGGAATAAGTTCAGAAGTTGTTTTTATAACCAATCCCAAACACCCCCTAAATATTTTATGGCTTTTGCCTTCTATTACATATTGACCCACAATTTCCAATTCATTCAAACAATATAAAAAAAGTGATTAAAGGTGAAAGTTTTGATTTTCCATTTGTATGAAGTTTGAATTCAAAAGTACAACCTGCAAAAGAGTGTAACAGAACAACAAAATTGCAACTGGACAATAGTCTTTGATAAGAGCGTGCGAATTTAGCAATAAATCACGATAATCCAGTCTCTAACACAAAAAACACACACATTAATCCCGTTTGAGCTGAATCGATTATGAGCATTCACCTGAAGAACTTACGTTACTTACACTTCTTATTTATTTAGGGTTAATAGCATACACGTTACGATGTTAAATTAACAGTTATGTTAATTTAGGGATACGATATAGAACTTACCGTGAATGTGTGGAGATGGGGGTGAAGTGATGGCCGGAGAGGCGAAGATGCGGTGTCAGTGAGGCTGCGGCTGAAGACTAAAGTGATGGCGAGAGAGAGAGAGGCGCAGAGGCTGAAGTCTCAACTTAGGGATAGGGATGGTAATGGAGCGGGGATGGGACGGGGACCCCAATACCCATCCCCGTCCCCGATCCCCCATATGTGTCCCCGTCCCCGTCCCCGTCCCCGTCCTCGCCTGGGATTATGATCACATCCCCATCCCCGTCCCCAACGGGGAACGGGGATCCCCAACAGGGAAACGTGAATTTTTTTTTTAAAACCAAAACAACCTATTTAGTAGAAGAGAAGTAAAGAAGAAGACTATTTAATCTCCATTCTCCATCTGTATGATAAACTGGAATACATCTGTTTAATCTTCATGTCTGCTAACATCTATTTACTTAGCCTTGCATAAACATAAAGTAATAGAGACTGCATAATTTTACTTAGCCTTGCATAAACAGAAAGTAATAGAGACTGCATAATTTTACTTAGCCTTGCATAAACAGCCTAATCTTGTGTAGAGCATTAACATGCTTGTCGACTTTGGCTAGAGACCTTGACTAACCATATGGCCATCTATTGAAAACAATTTTATAGCAAATCAAGGGAGAAGTAAAGAAGAAGACTGAAAAAGAAAATTTCTACTTCTGCAGAGAAAAACCAGTGAAGTGAACGTGTAGGGAGAGGGAGAGCCTGAGACCGTCGCCGTCGCCGTAGCTGTCGCCGTCGCCGATTAGGTTAGGGAGATGGAGTCGTATCTTATTAAGGGTGAGGAGGGAGTCGTTGTAACAACTCGTCCCACATGGATAGAAAGTGAGAATTGTTAGCTCCTTATAAGTCCCAAGTAGTGGGCTAC